GTGTATGCAGTGGGGAACGAACACGCGCTGTTGTCCTTACCGGGGAGCAGCGCGTGTTCGTTCCCCACTGCATACACCTGCGGTCCGGAGTTTTGCAAATATCTCAGCATCTCATACGAGTTATATTAAGCTTAAGTTTCAAAAATTTTTTGCACCAATACCATATATTATTGATATGTGTAAAAGCAGGTGTCAAAACTGGAAAAACATGGAAACGATCCTAAGCATTACTTTGAAATTAACCCTGGTCGATTTAAAGTGTCCACGATCCCGCGTTTCGCATTGATTATAATTAACAGGAGTTCTAGATATTAAATATTACGAAAGACTTCCAGGTTTTTCACTAAGAATTCAGTACACTAAATTTCGTTATAATCTGCATCCATTGTTTCTTCACTGCTTGACATTACTTAGAAAATTAACACTCTGCTTAATCTCACTATGCCAGTTAAGCATTTTCGTTTTAGGACCATAGAGCTGGCATCGTAGGTGGTGAGCGATCGTCTTGGTTACGGCACTTTGATGTTAACGTAGTTTCGTATGCCATGATGATCCAGGTATACGAAAACCAATGTGTCGGTCGCTTCCCACAATGTACCAGTTCGTGTTAATTGCCCGCTTTAAGGAATGCCTACCGTTATTACGAAAAGCGATAGAAAACAATGAATCCGCTACCATTCTTAATATTACCGGTCGTAAAGGTTCAATCGAATTGTGTCCGGGAACGGAACGTCTTCATGGAAACTATGCGTACATGTGCAGTAAGGTCAGTTTTCATTGTATGGTATAAATTATGATGGCTAATAAAGCTAATTTTACTTAAAATTTTTCAACAGGGTCAGGATATCTCGAGCCAGGTTGGTATTATTTCCAGAAGTTATGATTATAGCAATTTTCTAAAATATCTTTAACGATGTTCATTAAACAAAAGACCCAATAGAAGATCACTAGCTTGAGATAAAACTACAACGAAGACTTGAAGTGATTTCGATATTTCTAAAACAATATCTACTTGACGGACCTTAGAGGAATCGAACACCACTTAAGAACACTCCCGAATTGACATTATGTCAATTTTCCTCCTACTAAAGAGCTTTTAAAACACTTCACCATGCAATGCTACAAAAACCGTAACGTATTTCTTAAAAATTACTACCGCTAGCATCTATTAAAAATTGGTACTATGGCATCTGGAAGTAAACACAAAATTGTTTAGACGGCTGTGAATCTCCTAACTCGAATCTTATCCATTGAACACCCGGAGATTCTCAGTGTCGCAGTGTGTCCCGGATGGAACAGAACAGATATGGGCGGACCTGAAGTGAGTGTACTAGTTATTCCCACTCAGTGGGTTGCTTTTCTGGACAACAAAACTAGTGGATTTTAGAGGATAATTTTCCACCTTTTCTGCTGTTTCGTTTGTAATTCTAGTGGCTTTCTATTGATTTGGTGCTTATTTTGATCAGTCCCCCTTCTTCGGCGACTTTCCAGGGAATGAGCGATCCATCACAGTCGGCACCTATTCTTCTGGACACTGTAGATGGAATGACAATTACCGATCATTCTGGAAAATACCTCGATCGTAAAGGACGAACTATACCTTATTGAAGTAAGCATAAAATTGCTGTACTGTGAAGGTTTAATTATTCAACGCTACACGTTAAGTAAACCACTTTACAAGGATCCTCAGACACGAGCAAAACTCACGATGTCAGTCCAGCTTTGATCCCAGTATTGCTTTTTCTGTGGCCCATGCTATTCACCACATCAAGTGATGGTTTTGCTTTGGTAGTTTTGCTCATATTTCAGGATCCTTGTGGTTGTATTTCACATAGAACGCAGCCATGAAAAAGAGAATAGGTAGTAATTGTAATAGATATTAGGCACAGTCCTGTATACCAACGCTATTCAGTTGTGCAGAAGAAAAGGGTAGAGAAAAACGGGGACGAAAAAAGACAGAAAAATGATGTTGGCGAATGTTGAAGTGATAACCTTTATCATGAGCACGAGGATGGTTCAACAAGACTCCGGCCTCAACCACGTATCATCGCTTTGGGTCGAGAAATTAGAAACGGACTTATCTGGAGAATTTTCACTTCCAGAAGCTCAAATGATAACGTCTTAGCACGGTTATCTCAGAACTTCAGAAAGAATCGACAGGACCACCATCCGATAAGCATTCATGAGGAAAATGACAGTTCTCAAGCATCATCTGAACCTGCATGCAGAAATTGAAATACCCTTGTGAATGAGTGAGTTGGGGAAAAGAATCAAATGCACGACTTTCTGGAGCTCACAGAGCAGATGTAAAGACCGATTGTATGAAGTTCTTTATTTTTATTTCATATGACCCGTCCTTGCACCTACTGTGCGGATCCCAGCCCTCCTCACATTTGATTCGTTCATCTTGAATGTCGTAGAACGCTGGTCGAGCAATTCTTCCTGGAGTCCTGAGATGGCCAGGCTTGAGCGTTCCAAATTCGATTGCAGACAGTGATTTTTTTCCCAGAAAAGTCCGGCGCCAATTCCCCGACTCCTGAAAGATGAAAGGCTTGGTGAGGCCAGACCGGAATCGAACTAGCACCGTGCTCGTGGTGACGGACATCTCTACCACTGTGCCACCTCCCTGATTGTATGAAAAGAAAAAAATGTGTCTCAAAAACCTTTAAGACCCTACCAAGTCATCCTGGCTTAGGCTGCGAGAGGTGACACCTGCTCTCATGAACTGCGTTGTTCTGTAGCACGTTCATCTTCAAAACTCATAAAAGGTCCGACTCGTTCTACACTATCCCTCAGGCAACTGAAAAACCACTAACCAAATTTTTCACTCGCCTGTTTTTTTTTTTCGATTAAGAGTAGTTTACTGAGAAGCTCTATTCCCCAGATTAGTTGCGATAACAAAAGTGACCACTCGTGTCACAGATGTCACATATGGTTCAAAAGTAGCAGACTAGTGAATGATTTTGTAAATGAATGATTTAAGAAGATTCATCTACTTACTAATAAAATATGTAGACATTCTCCTGTTAGTGAACATACGCTAAGGTAGTGAAAGTCACGAATAGCATTAAAGTGAATTTTCGTAAAGGATACATTTTGGCAAAGATTACACAAAAAAAATGGTAGTGGTAAAACAATGCAGAACATGATCGCTGTAGGAACCCGGTTGCCAAGCAGAGAACCTTAAAGAATCAAAATCCTCTATGAGATAGTATTACTTGGGCAAAAGCAATCTTCAGCTAGAAAAGGGAACTGTTGATATGATAGTAAGCATATGACAAAGGCCCAATATTGGTAAGAGGAACGACTGTGGAACATCAAATCGGACCATCGGCTCTAATGAAGACGAATACAGCTAAACATTAGGCGAATAAACATCATTGTCAACCCCGTGTTAGCTTGACAATCCAAGCAGCTATGGTAGCCAAAGTTTAATCTTCAGTGAAATGGCTTTATCTGAAATCTTCATTTACCCGTGTATAAGTAACATTCCACAATAAAAACAGTAATAATCAAAAATTGTTACGATGGAATAGTTTTTCCAGAAAGACAGCGTCCTTATAATTTTCTATCGTAACAATTTTCTGCTAAAAGCGATGAATCATGCATATGTGCGATTGGGATGAAGCTGTAGCAATGAATCGGATAAATAGATTGTCTTCAAAATTTTCCAGCCAAATTCATCTACAAATACGAATTTGAAATTGCCGCCACCGCTGTCAAGCCATCGAACGTAAATCACATGCGATCAGTACAACAGCAAAAAATGAAACAAATACATACTTACACGAATCGATATAATAAGAGAATGAGAAGGAAGGAAAAAAAAGAGGCAATGCCTGGACGCAATCCAAGTGAATGAGAAAAGCCGTCAAGGCATGAGAAGAAATGTGACAATTTCAGAGATGAAATTCAACAAAAACAAATACGAAATAAAAACAAGAAATCTACAGCACAGCAGCCAAAAAGAAGAGATGAGGTAAAAGTCGTGAATATGATAGCAATAATGCTAATGTGGTGATGATGATGTCGTTGGAACTTCAGCCATCTCAACGCGAACGTCAATACTGAAAGAAAAAAAAGTAATTCTATCCTGTTAATAAAATACTTGGGTACTTGGACGACCCATCTTCACTAGTTGTGCGGGCGCCAGCATAATCTTTATTTCTCGGAAATTTGGTGGTTAAGCCATTGTGGTTTCCTGGAACCCAAAGGTCAGCCCGGGCAATGTCTGTCCCAGGTCGTCACGACCACAGGCAGTCGCACCCCTTGTGGATTAGAGGGAGATTTGCCACCGAGCCACTAGTTTTATACCACGACGTTAGTGGATCCTAATATTGGTTTACTCTTAACTGGGTTTTCTGATGGAGAAGCCGGACTTCTTCTCAGCTTGGAAGACCTTGCCAGTGGTATGAGTTCCTGCGCTGCACATCACAGCAATACACCCAGTAACACTTGCCAGCCACGATGAGGTAGTAAACCGTTGGTAGGTTAATAAAACAATTCTGGAAATATGCTTTAAACGCGTCGATCCTAGTTTTTTAAAACATTGCTACTGGTTCTGCCTTCAAATTTACATTGCAGATCTCTGATTTTAGTTTATTTCAGTTTTGACATCGTTTTTACGCAGACTTCGTTAACCATACACCGCCCTTGCATTACAAAGATACTCATGTGTTTAATAAGATTAGAGAACCAAAATTAAACTTAATCAGTTAATGAATCCTTATCGCACCTTGCAGGAGACGAGTCAGTAGACGGCGACTCAGCAGATGGAGATGGTGGTTGTTGAGTTCCTGGAGATGTTACTGCTTCCTAAAATTTTGAAAAAATCCCCAAAAACAAAATTAATTCGAATAGGACTTGGGTTTTGTGCTAAATAAAAAGTTTAAAATCTACAACAATGCCATTCCGATTCGAAGAAATTATATTCTTATAATAGCATAACAATAACATAACAACGCTCTTTTCCTTCTTGATTTGATAAATTTGCCTTATTTGCATTGGTACTGGTAAGTTATGTGGTCAACCATACTTCTGCCAATAGCTAATCAACAAAAAAACTTAAAACTAGACGACTATTTAATCAAATGCAACCACGACAATGCTGAGATATTTCCTAAACTCCGCACCGCAGGTGTTTGCGGTGGGGAACGAACGCGCTGTTACTCTTTCCGGAGGCTAACACGTTCACTACCACACCATGGGAATCCTTCGTTTTGCCTGTTTCTAAGCTAGTTTTCTATCCATCAGTGCCATCAACAATCACCCGCCAACCGAATTGATCTAGGGAATCCACATCGGCATTGAACCCAGTTAAGCCGAGGTTGTAGTTGAAATCACAATGTTTACTTTTTATTTGCTGCCTAGTACAATTTTTCACGGTATAGTAGGTCGGTAGGTAGAGTATCACGGTATTTTACTGCTCAACGAATTAGAAAAATTGAGGCGATAAAGTGTTGTTCCCTTCTTCCTCGGACTTCCTGACCTTCAGGTGTTTGAACAGGACGTGTTCTCAAGCGAAACATAAGCAGCGTCAGTATTTACATAATTCTGTTGACAATAACGGCTGCCGAATAACATGCGCCGCAACAAGTCACAGAAATTTCCGATAGCTTAATATTACTGTTGTTACAATTATTAGCACTGTTATATTAAAAGGATAACGGATAAAGCTTTAGGCGTTGATTAATTCTTGAGAGATGCGCCATGCAGTCGACTTGAATAAGCAGCGTTCGAGGTAACAGAATGCGTATCTGGGCTTTACAATGACTCGTGGTGGCCTACCATGTATCGAACTAGTGCTGCTATTCTCCCAGATAGATCTGCTATCAATTTGGCGATCTCGGTGGGACATAGAAGCCTTGGTGACCCTGCGGAGTTGGATCAAACCCATATGTATTTCAGGGCGCCTCGAACCACTACGCTACATGCGCCCTTGTTACAATACATTAATAACAATATGTTTATTTCTATAATGTTGAGACATTTGCAAAACTCCGGACCGCAGGTGTCTGCAGGTGGGGAACGAACGCGGTATTGTTCTTTCCAGGGAGTAACGCGTTCACCACCACACCATGCCGATCCTTCGTTACGCCTGTCGCTCAGCTAGTTCTCTCGATCACTTGCCATCAGCAATCACATGTCAACGAAACTAGCTGAGAGACAGACGAAAGGAAGGACCCGGATGGTGTGATGGTTAACGCGCTACTCCCCGGGAAGGACAACAGCGCGTTCGTTCCCCACCCGCAGACACCAGCGGTCTGGTTTTTTGCAAATATCTCAGCACTATAGAAGTGATATTTCGCGACATACTCTGCCATTAAAAAAATAAGCAGTAAATAAAAAAGTTAAGATTATGTTTATTGTTTTTGATCTTTGTTACCACTAATTGACATGCTGACTTAGTAATGGTCACTATTACTAAAATTGTTATTATCACCACGATAAATAGTAATGCTCCCTAATAGAAATGTTAGCGGTGAATCCTGCACAAACATTCTTTACACTAAAAAAACAACGGAAAAGCTTCAAAAATAAAGCTAGTCATTGTATTCCTTGTGTTATTCACACTTTCAGCACGGCACTTGAACCATTGTACCCGTTTAAAAAAAAGGGAACCAAAGAATTCACCACATTCCTCTAAGTGGTAATGTACTGTTCCAATTTTAGTCCTCATTTCATGTCCTCCCAAAGGTTTACCGCCCAATTGTGACTTGGAAGTGTTCCTGGGCATAGGCCTGCGATGTACAGCGGGGAGTTTCATTCGAGCAGGTTCCCTCAAGCTGAGGAGTTCGGCGTTTCCAGCAGGAAGCCTAGCCAAGAGTAAGCCAGTACTACTACCCACCATCGTCTTGGTATCAAACTAGCCGCATGGTGACAAATCTCCTTCTGACCCACGAGGATGGCGACTGCCTGTGGTGGTGAATACCTAGAGTAGACTTTGACCAAGCTGACCTCGGCACTCCAGGAAAAGACAAAGACTAAACAAACGAAACTCCGAAAAATGGATGTTGTGCTGGAGCCTGCACAACTGGTGAGGACGTCCCGTCCAAGTATCCAAGTAGGTAACTAATAATGTACACCTATTTACGTATCCTGCCCGACTTCAGATTTTAAATAACTGAAATCTCTAATGGGAAATTAATCGAAATGCTCTCCGATCTGCAAAATTTCTATGGTGTTCGGAAGTGCAAACATAGTACAGCTTTATTCTGATCATGAAATCTGTGCAAAGAACTTACAGTACTTTGGCATGTTCCACCCAGGTTAACTACAGTACGCTAGCCAAGTCAGCTAAACTAAAATGATGGGCCGAATTTCTTAGCACTTTTTCTGAATATTGGCTTACTGCGAATGGGAACTATACTTTTCATTGAGCATTAGGGTACAGTAGAGAGGACGGTCCTTCAATACAGTCTCCCAACACCAAAAAGTCGAAGATTTTATCAGCAAGCATAGCAAAAAACCAAGTGTCTGTCTACAGAAAAAGTGGTTCTCTTTCGCTGCTTCTATTACGGGTGAAGCCCACTGTGAATCACTGATCCGGTTGCGGGACAAACGAAGAACCTTCCCGTTACCGAAAGAATTAACTCTTCGATGTTTTTCTTCAATAAGCAGGCACGAAGTTGTCATCATTGAATTTATTGGGATACAATAGCTGACGCTTCGGCGGTTTCGCCTTCTTTAGAGCCTGGAAAGGTCAAATTGACATGCGATCTACTCATCCAAACACTTTCATAACCCCAGCAGAGAAAACTTAACAAATAAATTTGTATTCGCATAAGAAACAGCCTCATTTAAACATCTACCGTTTATTTGTTATAAGTATTTAAGTTAGTTGGTGGATAGCAGCCGCACAGGCTAATACATGGACGAGGACTGTGCCTGTGTTAGGTCATTGGATTAGCCTGAGGTATGGCGCCAGGTCACGCGTGATGACAAGACACTCCTCCTTGCGGTCCATTATTGAATTTTTAGAACTGATCCAAAACGCTTCAAGAATTCGATAGAGTTCTATAGAGCTTATAGAGTGCGCTGATGTTTTCGATTCGTGCGTGAGGATAGTGACTCGTACTTCAAAATCTTTTTCGTTGTGTTCCTGCATCTTATGCGCGCCAAGTGGAGTGTTCGATTTTAATTTAGATTTACCGACTAGGTGTTGTTTTATGCGGACGCAGAGCGGTCTACCTGTTTCGCCAACGTATTCGTTCCCGTCCGGTTTACAAGAGATCAGATAGACCGTACCCGAACTCATGCAATCACCGTCTCTACCGTTAGAGCAAATTATGCAGTTTTTCGTTATACATAGACGGTCATATAGGCGGTTGAGCGTCTTAAAGTGTCGGATGGTATTTCTGTCACTTTTACGGAATTCTCTAGACCGTTCCTTATTAAACAACGTTTTATAGCTGCACTTATTTCGCTTGAAGTAAAGGGCAAAAGGAACAGAGCCCTGTTTTCGCAAGAATTATCGCTCTGGCGCGTGGTTTTTTCAAGAAGCCAAACAGTACGAATATACTGGTTCATTACCTCTCCTCTCATCCCTCACACACTAAAAGGGTTCTTATAAGAAATATGTTTCGAACTGCCGCCAGCCTGTCCACATGTAGAGAGCAGAGGGAAGAATCCTCGAAACTGGCCCGCCAAATAGCCATTTCAAATGGTTACGAAACTGTAGCTTCTCGACACAGGCATAGAGGAGAAAGCACACCCCACAGCGACAATTCTAGCGAAAAGAAGGCTCCGTTCCTCTTGTCCTTTATTTCAAACGAAATAAGTGCAGCTTTAAAACGTTGCTTAATAAGGGCCGGTCTTGAGAATTCCGTAAGAGTGATAGAAATGCCATCGGACACTCTAAGACGCCAGCTAGATAGCAACCGCCTATATGACCGTCTATGTGTAACGAAAAACTGCATAATTTGTCCTAGCGGTAGAGACGGTGATTTCATGAGTTCGGCTACAGACTATCTGATCTCTTGTAAAACGTGCGGGGACGAATACGTTGGCGAAACGCGTAGACGACTCTGCGTCCGCATGAAAGAACACATAGTCGGTAAATCTAAGTTAAAACCAAGCACTCCACTTGGCGCACTTAGGATGCAGGAAGACAACGGAGAAGATTTTGAAGTAGGAGTCACTATCCTCACGCAGGAATCGAAAACATCATCGCGTAAAACTCTTGAAGCGTTTTGGATCAATTCCAAAAATTCAAAAATGAACCGCAAGGAGGAGTGGCTTGTCATCATGCGTGACCTGGCGCCATACCTCAGACTAATCCAATGACCTGACATAGGCACAGTCCTCGTCCATGTATTAGTCTGTGCGACTGCTATCCACCAACTAACTTAAATACTTACAACAAATAAACAGCTTTGAAGAAGGCGAAACCGCCGAAACGTTGGCTATTGTATCCTAATAAATTCTATAATAATAACTTCAAGTTTGCTTATTGATGAAAAACATCGAATTATCAATCAAGGCCGAGGTTAACAGAACGTCGGTCTTGGAAATTTACTCTTCGTTTAATGAGATTCTAATTTCGTATTTAAAAACCTTTTCTAATCGATACACGAATAGTGTGACAAAGTACGCACCGTCGTTGAGACAGGGCTGTTGAGTGCTGATGAGCGTACCGCTTCTTCATACGTCGGCGGAGCATCGAATTTCGGGTCAAACTGTGATGGTGCAATGTAGATCGAATGGTCTGCTATTCGTTGTAGGACCGGAATCGTCGGAAACGCAGCTGACATCGTTGATAACGAACTGCGAGCACCAGTAAGTGTAAGTCGCTGAAAACAAGTAACGGAATTAGTTAGTGCTGAAACAATAAGAAATGAAAGAAAAGAGCTTCTTTGTTTTTTAGTACAGATATATATATATATATATATTCTAAGTCAACTTTATAAGCGTTTTTTCACAAAGGTATACGTAGGTGCTTAAGCGCTGTACTTAAAGTGTTATCGCCCTTTACCATTTACTCCCAACCACTCATGAAGTCAAACATTCCTATCTAAGAGGAAACGACCGATTTTTGGCCATAATTGATGAATGTGAAATTTAGACCGGAAATAAGTGAAGTGTCTGCGATAAAAGAAAATATCGGCCAATGAATTCGTCATCACTATCGGGTTCTGATTAAAAAATAAGCGCCAACATGTCACTTCGGAGTTCAGTCAGAGCTCAACTGTACTGTCAACATGAAGAACTTTTATAAGAAACGACACTGCTGATTATTTTTAGTAAAAGTAGCAATCGATGGTCGTAAAAAACCAACATTTGTAAGTACCGTGGAAAAAAAACCGGTCGTGGACCATTTTTGATAATCTTAAGTTAGAACTTTCACTACTAGTCTCATCTGAAAGAAATTCAGTGGCATCATTCCAATGAAATTGAATTCAGGTCTTTCTAGCAGCAAAGTTGTTGTTAGAAAGGATAAAGCTCTCGGCGTAGATCAATTCCTGAGGGATGCGCCATGCATTCGACTTTATCAAATATCGTTACAGGTGATTGAATGCATATCTGACCTATACTGTGACCCACGGTGGCCTACCGATGTACTGAGCCAGTGCTGTTATCAATCCAGACAAGTCTGGTACTAATTTGCCGATTCCGGAGGGATGGAAGGCTTGGTGGACCATAGGCGCGGGGATCGATTCTACGTGTGTGTCGCAGGGCGCCTCCAACCACTACGTCACACGCGCCCTAAGTTGACGTTAGTTCTTATTTTAAAAAAAAATTTTTGAGATAGAATATTGAAATGCTCTAAAAAAGCGAAGAATGGTTGAATAAAGAAGTAAAACAACACTGTTGCATTGATCTATGATGCCTTCCACATTACGTTTCATGCTGTAATACGTGAAGCTTCGAGTAAGCGGTATGTCGTTACTCTCTATCGCTAACATCTCTGAGGTTCTCGGAAGGTGACAGCATGGAGTTGAAGCCATTCAGTTTCAAACTCTATCTATTCAAGCTCTTTAGAACAATATTTCCTACTAAAGGACAAAACGGAGAAAAGCTCTCAACGTTGGTCAATCCCTCAAGAATGCGCAATGCACATTGCTCCAAAGAGCATCGTTTGATTTGACATTGATTAGATGAATATTTGGCTTATATGATGACTTGTGATGACCTACCGATGTGTACTGCTATTCTTCCAGAGAAGTCCGGTGCTGAACCCGAAGGGAAAAGTCTTGGCTAGCACTGAGCGCGGGATCGAGTCTAGGAGCACGCGTGTATTGCACCGCACCTCTAACTACTGCACAACACGCCCCCACATTCCTTAATACTACCTCTGATGTGGTATATTAGAAACGCTCTAATAACTCTACATGTTCTTAACAAGCTGACAATTTCTTCCACAATGACCAAAAGAAAATTTTTCTACGGAGTTTATTTTCTAAGGTGATTAGAAATGAGTATATCGATGCACCATCTACTCAGCCAATTATCTACATCGCCTTGACGGAAAAACTGTGCCTTATTCAAAAACGAGAATCTTCTTGAACAATTGAGATATTAGTAAAGGACCATCATGAGAGATCCCCGAACTATTACTCTATAAATAACATATATCATTTTGCAGCAGAAAGTTTATCGCTGAGAGAAGCTTCTCTCTAGTTTAGCACTTTTTCACTTCGTTTAAAGGCTTAGCTATTGTCAAAATGACAGTAACTAATACTTTGACAACGTCAATCGAAATGTAATAATTCTGGTGAAAAATGGCAAAGGAAAATGACTCCAACGAAAAGTGCTAAATGCAAAAGCCGGGATAAATCCGCTAACCTGGACGCGTTGTTGCGATCTACGTGTTCGTCTACTGTTTACAAGCATACAGAATAACGTAATAACAACGGACATAATGACGACGGCAGCGATGATGAGCACCGTGAGCGCGCCGTTCGGTATTCCCTTCGTCACCTGCGATGTGTTCATATCAAACGGCATCTCTGAAAATAATAAACCGTGTAGTTTGATCAGAAACAGACCAAGAAAACTTCAATGTGATCTTCGGAACGATTCTGTCACCTCGAGAAAAGAAGTGTACTCGATACGGTAAAAATTACAAGCAGAACTAGAACAGTAGCGCTCAGAGACGAAATAAAGTGCCTTTTTCTTAGCTGTTCTACTTTATTATCGTTCTGTTGTTATTTTACTGCACTTCACCGGTAAAATTTTATTCTAAAAATCACTGTCAATAAAATTCCCAAGACCGACTTTCTATTCAACTTGGCATTGATTGATAATTAGCTGTTTTTCTTCAATAAGCAAATACGACGTTGATATTCCAGAATTTATTGGCAGACAATAACTGACGTTTCGGCGGTTTTGCCTGCTTCAGAGCTTCGAAAGGTCAAATTCACGCGTGACCTGGCGCCATATCTGGGGTTGATCCTGTGACCTGAGCCAAGCATTTTCCTCAGCCGCGTAGTACCCTGAGCCACAGTTATTTGGAATACTCGCAAAGATGGACCCGCATGGTGTGGTGGTGAACGCGTTACTACCCGGAAGGGACAATAGTGCGTTCGTTCCCCACCGCATACACCTACGGCCTGGAGTTTTGTAAATATCTCAGCATCATTGAATTCGCAAAGAATAAAACGGTGGTTGTTCAAAGAAAACTGTTTATCATGCGAATGCAAATTTATGTGTTACGTCTTATCTGCTAAGGTTATGAAAGTGTTTGGCTGAGTACATCGCATGTCAGTTTGACCTTCCCAGACTCTTAAGAAAGCGAAACCGCCGATACGTGAGCTATTGTGCGCTAATAAAATCTACAATATCAACCTCGTGTTTACTTATTGAAGAAAAACGCCGAACTGTCAATAATAACCAGTTTTCATCCATAACTTATAGAAAAAATCTAACCTGCAATAAAATTCTTTGTTATGAATTGTAAAACGTAGAATTCTTCATGAAATAGTTCACGGATCTACAGTTACTAACAATTTTAAGGCTTAAAATGGATTGTTTATTACAATATACGAAGTAAACCACAAAGTAAACAACATAAGTGTAACAAAGTCCCTTTCTTAGCCATCGTCCCGAAAATATATTGCCTCATCCAGACGAAAAGATGGTGCTGGATGTCGAAATGATGATGAAGAGCTTGTTCTAATACAAGCAAACTCAACCAATCTCGGAACATTTCCACCCGGAAAACCAGAAGAATAAATCATGACCGGGAATTATGCGGCACTTCTGGAATATGTCTACACTTAGGGGGGCTGAACATCCTCCCGATCCACACGGGTTGCCCGACGATCATGTCAAGAGAGAGGACGTCCTGGCACAGCTATCTCTTAGAACACCACTGTGAAAAAAACTTGCCCAATCAGCAAAATAGCACGGAAAATGGAAATTTTGCTGAAGGTCGCAAATTTCATGAAACTGGATCACTTGCAGTGCCAGCATTAACATAACATTATTGAATTATTTTGCTTACATAGCGAAAAAAGTCCAAATTATAGTCATCAATTTAGACGTCCCTCTACAGCAATGTCGTCGAATATAACTAAGTTCAAATCATACGATACAACCTTAAAACATGCAAGTGCCTTAACGTAAAATCTGTCTAATCGCTTTAGGTTTGAAAACCTCTGACATTTCGACACAAATCAAGAATCACTAACTCTAAAAAAATAATTAAACTAAGAAAACCGTAAAAAATTGCAGTGGAGATTTTTGGGTGTATCAATAACAAAAGATAAGGGGAATAAAATTTGTAGAACCGATCACGCCCTCAGGGAAGCTCTAAGTATTGAAACCATTTGTAGGATCGTAATGTTAATTGAATGCACGTATGCAGTGACTTGAAGAGTCTCACTGATGTACCAAGTGAATGCTGCTATCCTCCTAGACAGGTCTTGCACCAATATGCTCATCTAACGATGAAAAATTTGGTGAGTCCTGGGTACGAGAACGAACTAAAGACCACGTTTGCATTTCAGGGCACCTGTACCCGGTTACGACTAATAACAAGAAGTTGTAGTGTGTTCTGTCCGTTATGTAGAATCCTGGAGCTTAAGAGAAAGAGAAAAGTTTTCAGCGGCTCAAATCCTCCCAAATCGTCTAATATTGATTGATTGTGAGGAACTGAGAAGGGAAGAGAAAAGTCGAACCTACGATCGATAGACTTCTGTAAAACATGTGAAATTCTTCACGGAAAAAACACCCGACTTGCTAAAAATGCCAACATACCGCTTTGTTAGATAAAATGATCAATGCTGTGTTGTAGTTTGTTTTTGTTTTTCAATGGAAATTGCGAGAAAATTCATGCAAATCAGATACTCCACACATATCGAATAAAACTCGATCGAGCACTTTCGAAAAATGCGTTTAGTTTATGGAACTTTTTCTGCCGTCGTGATGACCATTCAGCAGCATGAAGAACTTCAGCAAAAAGGTGAGAACGAAGGCAACAATGAACGACCTGCGAACAGAACTACGATGGAGATTGGAGCGTAGGAAGAAATATAAAGGGAATAAAATCGCTAAAAAAATTCGGTCTTCATCAATCCCTAAAATATACACCATGAATTTGGCTGCATTCAGCACCGTAAAGATAACTAAATGCGTATTTGGTTCGTACAGTGACTTACGACAACCTGCCGATAAATCATGTCATTGCTCCTATCCTCGCGGAAAAGTATGTTATCAGTTGTACCACCGCGAAGGCTCAAGAGGCTAGGTTAAACCACAACACGATGTCGACCCAAAGGTCCTGTGTTTGAACGTACATTGCAGGGCATTTCAAATCCTATATTACACATCCCACATGATTAATACAACTATTACCATAATTTTATAAGCGACATGAAAATGTATTCATTACCAGTATTATCATTGCATGCTCTCAAAGTCCTAATTTTGGAAGCCTTACTACGAGTAAACCTTTTGGAAGACTAGCTAAGCGTAAATTTATGCCACAGAAGAGACCAACTACCTGTGGTCAGCTCGGCGATCGCAGCATAGAAAAATGGAGTTAACTAGTACTTGCTCGAGTTACTCGGATAGTAAGAGGACTATTGGTAGTGGATGTTTTAGGTGGACATGTTGGTAAAACTATTAATACACCACTGAACGGACACTAATACATTCGCATTCGATAAAAACACCAATGTTATTTATCCCAATCATATTAGGATCGACAGCAGCATTTAAAAAAATAATAACAGGGTCTTGTGCCATTTTTGGTCTGTCAACTTATGAATTGTAGGTATCGTTGTTATCCCATAAATGGCTGACATCTTGAAAAAAAAATCCCAGTCAGAAGGAACAAAAACTTTGTTTTATCTGCAGGAACCCACGATTGCCCTTCATGGAGACGTGAGATGCTCTAGGACGGTTAGTTAGCCATTCCGTAGAAGACTGTGTACGACTAGTCTTCAACATGTTAGTGATGCAACAGATGTACAGATAGCAGCAGAACGCAACCACGAGAACAACTATGACCCAGTGGATGTTGGCACCAGGACAACGAAATGACAGGGAAAAGCACTGGGACTTGGGCAACATGTGAGAGTTGGCTATTTTAAGAAGATAGGCTGCTGTCGTCACGAAAATAGCAATGGAAATCACATGAAAAAAACTATTCAATATGCAGGCAAATCATTATTGAGAACAAACACAATTCCTTACATTGTGGAAGTCTGCTTTCTTCGCTAAATACTAATACAGTAAAATGGTCATCCGAAAAACCACTATAACATACAGAGATTTATTAGCGGAACAAAAAGTGCCTAAAAATAGTCCATGGATTCGTTTTAGTCTTATAACGAAATGGAACGGATGAGTCAATGAACCTGCTATTAGTTACTCAGAATGAAGAAATGCAGTAACGACAAGACTGGCGTTATTTCAATGAGACAAAGCAGAAATTCAGGCTGAGTCGTTACTAGATAAATCCTTTTTGTTGTTATACCAATAGCAAATGCATTATTTCAAAAGATCTTTTGTGGCTCACCGTCTCGTCTTGGCAAGGGGAAGGTGTTCCTCGTTGTCGGACAGCAACGTATAACGAGGATTTATCCATCCCAAAGAGTCCCTCAAGCAAAAAAGAAGCTCAATATTTCCATATGGAAAACTTGTTAAGACCTATCTCACAGCAGAGCATGCTAAACCAACCATGGATACCATTTCACAAGAACGATGAAAGAAAAATAACAGGCTTCAAAGCAAAAGCATGACATTCTAGGGCACTTCGAGAGAATACCGATGATACAGGTGCTTTAAAGAAAAACGGGCAAGAGCAAAAGTTTTTGAATTGGGCTAGGATTAAATATATTCAACCTTCCTGCTGGTGACAGATCGACAATGAAGAAATAAAGGTGGAATTTGTGAAAGTCAATACTAAGAAAACAGGATGGAACGTAGTGGGCAACGATTATACTCGCCCACGGCCAGATCTTTATTCAAGGCGGTAGTGAATGGCCGCACAGCAGAAGGCAAAGACGTCAAATAAAAAGGCAACAGTGGTGCTTTCCTTCTGACATTCATTGTAAAGAGTTGAAAACAGCTAGGGTAGTTTTCCTGTGAAAGCCGAAGCACTTCAATTTAAAATTCACGCCAACCTGAGGACGTAATCTGTGATATAATGACATTTCCTCATTTAAATAGAAACAGAACAAAAGAAGAAAAAATGACAGAAGACAAGAAATTTTTCCCGTAGGGATTCAAATTTTCGTTGTAGAGACTTAAATTGCACATCTTCATCTTCCTGCCAAGAGAAGAAGAACTCGGCTACAATCATTTGCTAAACTTGGGTTAAAGCTATTAATACTATACTATTCCAAGATGGCAATAACATTGAATGAAATGAGCTGAGAACCTCAAAATATCACTTGTTATAATTACCTGAATATACCAATTGAGTAAAACCCCGCAGGTAAGCTAGGGACGCCAATTTTAAGAATACAGGACATCTGATAATCGACAAAAAATCAATA